TGTGTGTGTGTGTGTGTGATTCCTAACGCTTTTAGTCTACTATCCCATCATTCAAGGGTGGTTTTCACTATAAGTAATGTTTTTCTTTTGGAGGGAAACTATAATTTAAATGTTTTCAATGTTCAATCTGAATTTACTTTAAAATAAAAACATTATATCTTGATTCTGACTTTTCTACATCCAACTCACAGGTTTATCATTGCTTTGAGAAAAAAGATTATTAATGTACCCCTTTTAGAAGTGAAGATACAGTCATTTGTTCTGGGAATGTCATATTCAAGCCTGAGACCTGAAAAACAGGCTCGGGGCTCAACTGGTTAAGTGACATAACCAATTTAGAAATCCCCGTCAGTATAGTAGTATAGGATGCCTAAATGTGTGAGAGCATACTGCTGACCAATCCAAAACATCCGTACTGTCCCTGACACTGTAAACACCATCACTTTGGCAATAGAGGCATCCCTCGACAGCTCAACACGTCAATAAACTGGCAGATAAATTACTACTCGAGGTACAACCCTGACACGAGACATTTCCAAACGATTGCACTGCTGCAGTGAGACATATCACAAGAAAGAAGTTTACTCTACAGCCTTGACCTTTTTATTATTGACTCTTTGTCTTTACACTACTGGGAGCTGATAAAATGTCACAGCTTCACAAAGTAAGGTTTAAATTAGGTTGTGTGTCTGTAGGCTTTATTTTATGACATCCATTTCTCTATGAGCAGCCCTGTTTGTAATCTTTTATGTGGGATAACTGTTTTTTCTGGGTTTAGTTCTAGTTTTGTTTGCATGCATTGCATTAATGCTAATGAGCCAGTGTTAATTTCGTCAACGAAAACTATGACGAAAAATGTTCGTCTTTTTACATGACTAAGACGAGACGATGACGAGCTAAAAATAGATTATTGATAAGAAAACTATGACGAAATGTATATTTAGTTTTCGTTGACGAGACGAGAAGGGACTAAGATGTTAATGGTGGATTATCGGACATTCAAAATGCAGCATATTTTCCCCCAAGTGTCCATCTTGTCTGTCAAAATGCATCTTACGTTTCTAACTTGCAATATCATTATTTCCGCTCTCTTCACTCCAGAAGAGCGATCTCCCTGTGTCTCTCTGTGTGCGGGGGGCGGGGCCTAACATACATGCTGCAGCGGACACAGAGATCTGCCGGGGACGGAGCGTTCAGAGAGCATAGACACATTTTGACTAAAATTTAGTTTTTCATCGACTAAAAGTTGACTAAAACTAATTTTAGTTTTAGTCTTTCGTCTAAAGACTAAGACTAAATCAAAAACAGCTGCCAAAATTAACACTGTAATGAGCTGAGGCTGTGTAGCTACACATATCAAATATATTGCTGATTGTTTTTACCAAGACACCGACAGTTTAGTCACAGAAATATCTAAGTGCTTGATTAATGCTATTTAGTTGCCACTACTAACGTTAAAAAAACTATACTTTAGTACCAAACAGTGTTAAAATACTGATCATACTTGTTAACTGTTAGCAGCTAGACGGCAGCACAATCCTTCTTAGGTAAATAACAAACAGCTAATGCTTACGGTGGTTGCATTGTTTTACATAATGGTGCTTTCAAGCTTTATTCAGTTAAAAAAGATTATTGGTCATTTATAATCATGATGTACATAAAAAAAGAACACAAATTAAAAAAAATATCAAGATCTTTACAAAAACAAAGAAAATTCAAAATGTCATTTTTGGCGGGAAGCTTGAAAAAATACTGTTAGCTGAAGAAAGTGCTTTCACAGCAATATGCATATTAAAGAGGGAATATGACCTGTTCAACTTACTAACAATAACAAGTTTGCAAATGGTGCAAAGGACTACATTTTGAGTTGTTTGAACTTAGGTCTCAAGATGAATGTAACTTAATTTCAAATGGAATCAACTACTACATTTCCAGTTTTACGACATCCCTCTGTAAAATGCTAACATGCTTTGGTATCAACCCAGTGTAAGAAACAATGCAGGCTGTTGCATGTATGTGTGAAACCCCATGCTGAAATGCAGGCAAACAGAGGTCAGTGAACTCTCAGCTATTCCTGACACATAACCCAGTGGGTGTTAAACTGGGAGGAGTGATGGCAGTGAACTGGGAGAACACTACAGAAGCAGAGTGTGATGTGGTGACGTTGCACAGTAGAGCATGACAACCTGAGATGGTTATTTTTTACAGAACCAACAAGAGAATTCAAAGGCACCGACCCGTGATGGAGGTAAAAGATAGTCAAGAGCGGAAAAGTCTTACAAAGCTTAAACCAAACACCAACACACTCAGGCCGCAGGTATGCATTTATAAAGAGACTCCAAACAGCAATGCTTGTTTCAACAGAAGTGAAGCAAGACCCTAGCAACAACATAGGCTTGAACCATTCTTTGTTGACTGCCGACGTGTCTGTTCATTGAACTGTAGCTTTTTTAAACCAATGTAAAGCTGATCAAATATATAATTTGGAATCATTTAGTAGTTATTGAAAGATAAGTCCTGTTTTTGGGGTGTTTGGTTAGCGTTTTCAAGCGTTGTCAGGGGTTTAGTTAGCTTGTAGATGGGGTTTCTGTATCATTTTGTTCTGTATATCTCCAATTCTAGATGTGTTAGTAAGATATATTAGTGTGAGTCCCATATTCTCAAGCTTCAGATAGCTTATTGAGGTGTCCCATTCCACATATCTGCATTTACCTGTTTTTTCAACCGTTGGTGAATACAATGAATTGTTCCGGTAAATGTTGAGCCATTTAAACTCTAAGGACTATTAAAAGCATGAGCCCATATGACTCACCCAATCACAGGACAATTTAACACCAACGCCACAGAATAGCACACCGGAGACAGAAATACAGTTTGCATGGAGTGCCAATATGCAACGAAGAGGATGTCATCGTGTTTCATTAAGGCACGAGTGTCGAGAAGTGTTTCAACCCTTCAGTAGCTAACAGAGCAAATATTGACCGAAAAAAAGTTCCTTTAAACTAACAGCACGGCAGAAAAGCGGTGACAGACATGCGACATAGATGTAGGATTCCTTAGGCTGCATGCTGTGTTATTAGGGGGGAATTGAGCAGGTGTGCAAACCTGAGAGAGGACCCTCCTTTTGACACCAAAAACAGGTCCTTAAAGTTTGCACTGTTATTAGCTTAGTCAGCGAGACATTAGGTGGAGTTAAGTATGACTATGAACATGAAGGCGTTTTAGTAGGAAAACAGAGTGATACACATGGGCACAGCTGGTGTCAGTCGGTGCCTTGTACCCCCAAATCTCTGGGGGAAGGAGCGTTCAGTGCAGAGAAAAGGGTTGCATAAGTATTCTTAATGCTATTGAAATCACAATATGGACTAGGGCTGTAACCACATTGTAGTAAGAGCAATATCTGGTAGAATCAGAATTCCTTTTATTAGTCCTACAGCAGGGAATGTTACAGCAAAGGTGACATGGCAGAAGAAAGGCAAGCAATAAAAGAAGGCGACATGTTGAATATATAGAGTAAAGCTACACATATCTTTCTGGATGAGTCCCGGCCTACAAACAACATCTTTGTTTGGTATTGGTAAAACCTTTTTCAATCACAATGTGACGTATGTTTCAAAAACGATCAATACTGGAATCATGCCGCAATTGTAAAATCAGCCACTATGATCCCAACTATGTTTTTTTTCTCGAATCGTGCAGCCGTGTTTCAGACAGAGAGAAGTTTGTTTCAACATTTCACAATCACCACATTCCATCTGCTTGCATACTTCTACACCTGTCTGTGCCTGCCGCCTCTCACTGCTCTCTCTCAAAAACACCTGGAGACACTCGCCCCTTGTTGGGTTTACCTTCCTTCGAAAACATTCAAGACTCAAGCAGTTTTACCGTCATGTATACAGTTAAACAGGCAGTTGCACTGTACAATGAAGTCCTTATGTTTCCACTCTCCATACCCACATATTAACAAGCATATGAGACGAAAACTAGCATAATGTAAACTGACATACATGAAACAAGTCCTGTCCCAAAAGATGTGCTGCACGATAAAAAAAAATAAGATATTTAAACAGCAGGGTAGAGTATAGTGTTTGAATGTATAAACAAGCATAATAATTGATAAATGAATCTGTGCACAACAACAACAACCCCTCTTGTTAAAAAAAACAACAACTTTTCATTGCCATAAAAACACTACAGCTACTGAGCATTTGACAATAAAGCCTTTGAAGTTTGAATTGAATCCACGGCAAACAGAGAGTCCAAACTCACCGGTGTTGTGTGTAGTTTGTTGCTGGGCCACTGTCTCACTGCTAGCACTGTGTCCCATGCTATGGCTCCCGTCCCCACTGGCCTGCCGGGCCCTTCCTCCCCCGAGGTCGGCGGCAGGTCCTAAAACTTAAAGCCACCTCGCTCGTCTAAAACCAGACATATCGGAGCTCCGGTAACTGAACACTGCGTGGTTTACTCTCCTGTCTCTCTAAAACTCTACCCCCTCTCTCCCTTCAGCCTGTGTTTTCTCCCTCCCTTTTCCTCCCCTCCTCCTTCTTCTTCTTCTTACACTTTAAAACACAAACCCTCCCCTTCCTTACTTCCTTCCTTCCTTCTTGGAGCTCTGACTTCATAAATAAGGTACGCCGATATGGTAATCCGGCCACATGCCTGTCATTCCTGAGAGCACATTTTTCAGGGGCAAAGTTCACGGAGAGCTTTGAGGTTTGGCCACAAATCCATCAAGGGATCGAGGGATTTTGGATGCAGTGCCTTCCCCCCCCACACACACACCCACAAACACACACACCCACACCCACAGACTGACTCAACAGTAGGGCGGGTGGGGAGGGCCCTGCAGGGGGGAGGTAACCGGAGAAGTGGAAGGTGAGCCGAGCCAAGGTGGAGCTCAAAGCCAGAGAGCAGGAAGTGACTCGGAGTCCAGTGTCTCTCCAGGGTTTGTCCTTTTAAACTGACATGTGAACTAATAACACCTTTATTAGATAATAGCAGCTGTGTTGTACAGCTACACCTGATCCCTTTCACTATATGGGCATGGATTAAGGCTGGGAGGTTATTCAATATTCAGTGTTTAGTGTCTAGTCTTAAATTAGAATTAAATGAGTTTTAAAATTAGACTTTTCAACGTGCTGTGCTTTATGGAGCAGTTTAAATATGAGTACGGTATTTAGGCCTGGGTGATTTTATAATTTAATGGCATTTAATGATATATATTTATCGAGATATCATGGTAAACAATGAATTTGTCTAAATGGATTTAAAAAAAGCAAATAACGTAATTTCTAAGGCAATGTGTTGAAATATTTGAGGGAATTTCTTTTAGATTTGACTTGAAACTGTTCATATTGCATAAAAGTAAAAACAAAAACACATTATTAAAAAAAATGTCCTAGTTCTAGGAAGAAAGTCAGAATTTGGGGAAAATAATGTGTCTCTCAAAAATCTTTTTTTCTTCAAAGAAATCTTACTTTTTTTTCTTAAATCTTACATTTTTCTTTAAATAATGGACTCTTTTTTTCACTAACAATTAAGCATTTTTTCCCCCACAAAATTCAGACTTTTTTTTTCCTTTACTTTAATCTCAGAACTAAAAAGGTAAAATTAAGAAGTTAGTATTAAGTGAAAGAGGATCTATGAATGTGTTTAGTCTATCATGAAACTGCTAACTCTATAAACATTGCCACATCACTCCCTCTGCAGCCTCATTACAGCATGAAGGGAAACTGACAGAGGAACGTTGGGAATGCAAATCCAGCATATTTGGAAACAGGGCAGCTAATCGGCCAATAACCCAAGAAATCTCAGGTAAACAAAAAGGGACAACACCCAAAATATAAATCAGTTTCCAAAAAGAAGCAGCAGATGGAGACAAAGACATTGTTCCTCCACATGAGAACATGAATCCCAGCTGAAAAAAAACATGACTCACACAAATACCAGCACACGGTGTCATAATGACAAGCCAAACTAAAAACATTCAAATGTGACGTAACACGAGTAAACACACTGGGGGACTTTGCCAAATCTGGTCAAAACACAACAAGTCCAGTTCTTAAATTGCGATGTCTTCTTGTCTGAAAACACATCCGTTTTTTTTTAGAGGATAGGGCAAAGAGGAAGTCTGGTTTATTTTGGTCCAGATAGGGAAGAGTAGATCAAGCTTCCTTAATCTGTTCCTGCAGTGACCCGAAAGACTGTGAAGGGATCTAAAGCCATGCCATGCCCTGCGTTTAAATACAGCAAAGCAATGAGTGATCACTTGCTTTCAATACGGTCTCAATCAAATTATAACTATTCAACACATTGTACTCATGAACAGATACAAATACCAAGAACCAAAGCATTAGGGCTCAGACACTAAATATAAAGGATTTCAAATATATCGTACTATACTAACCACAGCTTTATGTCAGATTTAAAACCAACCACAGCTATTTTGTCAGTCAAAAATGTAAACACTTAACTGAAAATAGAGATATTAACTGAAATAGAAAAGCAGCTTTACTCACGAATATATTCAGAGTGAACAGCCATCCAAGATATGTTCGTAATGTCACTACACAGTTGAGTCTGGGTTTAATAATGCTCTGGTGTTTAGTGCAGTGTGTCTGTCAATGATACTGAGGGTAGTGACAGCGAGAGAAACTGCTAACCTACAGGTGTGTCCTCTGGGTGACAGCCAATCAGATCGCAGCACAGGGACGCCCTTTTAACGGACAGATTCATAACCACACACTTTATTTGTTGACTCACCGTTTTCTGTCATCACGATACTACGGCTCAGATAACAGCAGTCTCACTGGGTTTATAAGAGATTTCATAATGTTTGTTTTATTTCATAATGTATTTTTACACCTCTGATGCAATGGAATGTACAAATAATAATGACAAAATATATGAATTTAACCCGATACAATTTTGATGCTATGACATCAAATTAAATACAATATATATTATATTTGATTTAGATCATTGATGAATTGATTTATATAAACAAATACAAATAAAAAGGTAGGGTTTTTTATTTATTTCTTTTTTTAAACCTAATGATATAAAGATTTGTTTAAATTTGGTTAATATATTTTATTTTTATAATTTTCTATTGGCAAAACGACATTTTAGATTTAAATTTGTTTTATTTGACACCCTTCAAAGCATATCAACCTCAAATCACATGGAATTTTCTACAGGTTTGTGTAAGTCTTTTATGCAAGGGTTTACAGATAGAGATCAAATGTATGGATACAACATTCAGATGAAATGCTATCAACCTCAGATTTAGGTCTTCAAATAGATTTTCTTTAGAACTTTTATGCAACAAGCGAAATGGAAGAAGTAGGAAAGCGTCTTACCAGGATTTTCCATCACGTGTCCAAAACTCAGCAGTCAGCAGCTCCTGAAACAAATTAACCAACGGGATCATTAAGACATTTATTTATTAAATATACATTTAAATAACCATAATAACAGGGTATTACTCCATTATAATAAGTCTATTTAACATTTGATTGTGAGCATATAATGGCACCTCCTAATGATGTATTATTGGGCTTATTTAAAATACTATTGCAATACAAACATTTGAATAGATGGAACATTTTTGACTGAATTTAAAGGTCACCTATCATAGTATTTTTAGGCAATAGCATAGGTCTCAGATATATACAAAAACATGTCTATGAAGTTTTTTGCTCAAAAAACCAAACCGATCACGCCTCATATCCCTCTATTTCACTTCCCATTTAAAAAGTGCTGATTTGGGGTATAAACAGGTCTCTCTTGAGAATGAGACGCTGGGTGTTTCTCAATGTCGAGGAAGGCTGCTCCAGAGCCACTATTTCAAGGATGCTACATCATCGAGTCCCGCCGAAGGACTGTTCCAATGTCCAGGATCCTTGGAATTCTACCGAGGCCGGCGTACTTCGTTGCGGGAAAATTTCGAGGCTGCACATGTGTAGACTCCGCGGTCTTAAAATCCCCACAATGCTTTGCGCACGGACCAATTTCCAAATCTTGGCGGAAATCGCGCTCCATTTAAGGCGGGGCCTCGCATATGACGCACACCTGCCACCTGTTAGCCTGTTCCAACATTCTTCGTTTTCCGAGGCTGTAGGTAGGATTCTTGCCTCGCTTCTGAAGCAACTGACTCGGAGGGACTTGTCCTACCAAGGAAGCGTCCTCGACATTGAGAAACACCCTCCGTGTCTCAATGAGATTTTCACCTGTATGAAAATAAGAGGGGGCGGAGCCAACGTCGGCTCATGCGGGACCTGGCAGATACTGTTTAAAATGTTGCGGTGATGAAACAAGGATTATTAGATCAAAGATTATTTCTGAAACAGTATGGAGCTCAAACTCAAAGGCTTTCTCTCTTGCTGGTTATACCACAAGGTGAGTTCCTTTTTATTTCCTGCTTCTTCACACACATGCTCTCCAGTACAGGTTAGCTCTAGAGTGTTAGCGATGCTAATGTAAACGCCGCCATATTACGTCCAAAACAGTCGGGCATTGTTTCTGATAGCAATGTTTCTGATAGGGCCGTGGGTCCACATTTCAGATATTACGTCATATCGGACGCAAATTTGGATCAGCTCCATTGTAGAGAGAGATTTGGGTACGGAGGAAAAGAGAGAGGGTTTTATTTTCTGACGCTGCGTGAGTTCCCTGATACACCGGGGACACATATTTATGTATAAAAGACATCAAAAAGTGCATTTTACATGATAGGTCCCCTTTAAAGATTAATTGTAAATAATCAAATAAATCACATTTGTCTAGAATCCTCATGTTTTACAGAAAGCTTGATCTATGATCATGTTTTTGTTTATGGGTTTATTTGTGATACAAGATCTAAAATTACAAACAAAAAATCACCAAACATTTAAAGTCTGGTCACGACTTGAGCATGTGAATAATGCAAATGTACTCAAGATATCAGCAGCAGTGAAGTTACTGTTGAAATGTTTGAACAACTTGAATCAGAAATGCAGCAGAGCAGCCTCTCTGATGTGTTGTTGCTGAACACAGAGGGACAATCGACACTTCTGACAAATCACCCCAGTTTGTTTTAGCACCAAATCAATCAAACACAATCCAATGAATAACAAAACAAACTCAGTATTTCACAGTGTGACAAGGCTGAGATGAAGTGAGGCCAACACTGAACAAAGCTGCAGAAATAGTAGCAAAATATGATGACAATAATCAGAATACTTTATATATCCAGAGGCGAATCGTGTCTTAGAATGAAACAAAATAAAATATGAATAAATCAAAGATATAATTAAAATATTACACATTGCAGAATGTCCAATAGAAAAAGATAAAATGATGAAATGAAAAATACCAACAAATATAATATACACATATAGTTGAAGTAAAAAAAGCACATACTTAAAAAATGTTTAGCAGAAAATCTGATGAGTTTTTTAAGGATATATTACATTTTGATTCAGCATCAAGTCATCATTCAACACTAC